TCAAGTCTCATCAGTCTTCATCATAGATGAAGTTTCACTATGTGTGTTTTTCAAGGACTTGGTTCAGAATGCGCTAAAGGACGTAAGGCTCAAGTTTGCTGAGAAGAAAAAAGCTCGACCAGAGGGTGAGTCTGATCCTAAAGTTGAGGGGGCATTATTCTTCGAGCCTATGGATGTGTTCATGGTGGACATAACTGAGAGCACAAAAAGGACTAAACCTGACTATGAAGAGCAGATAATAGTTGTGTTTCTCAAGGCTAAGGAAGAACTCATAAATTTTATGAATAGATGTAAGGAAAAGGATTATGAGGTTATGTTATGTCCATATTGCATCGCCGTCTTTAACAAAGGAGTGCTAAAAGAGTTGGAAAAAACCAATCCTGATCAATCAAAGAGAGTTGGTCGATAATACCAATGCAAGAAATTCTTTTTTAATAAGAGGGGAGTCCCTCATAAGACTCAGATGCCTAAAACTTATATCTCGCCTTCTGATGTTTCTGTCAAAGAGTGGTCTAGACCTGTAGGGAGGTCAGCTGCTGAAAAAGGAAAATGAAAGAGAATCGAAGTGGGTGGAGGATCTTCCTACCTTAAAAATTCCTAAACTTCCAAGAAATATTCTTATATTTAAAAAAACTACACGGGGGAAGAACCCCATGACCCGCACTCAGTGGAGAAGGCACCAAAGAAACAAAAAGGTTGCCTCCAAAGCAGGAAGTGCGAGTAAGAACAGTAATGTCCAAGTTATGACTGATGGACATAAGGCAAAAAAACCCGTAAAACAAATGTTGTTTCCTCCACTACCACCCGTGGTAAAAAATAAACCTAAGATCGGAAGATGAGTTAGATATCATATGTAATATGATATCAGTGCTGCCATTTGAATATGATATAATTATTGAGGTAACTGAAGAGGAAGATGGGCTAGCTGAAAAAATGGATATCCATAAACCTTTATGAAATTATGTGATGCATGATAACTCAATCAATGAGGACAAAACCATCTTCGAAAGGCCTGACATGTCTATGCAACAACATCTGAAGCCTTTGTACATAAGGGCAAAGTAAAAGGTGTCGGGGCTAATAAGGTTTTTATTGACCGTGGAGCCTATATCAATGTCATGCTGCATTATCTACTTAAGAGGATTGAGAAATATGACACTGATTTGAAGTCTAACAACATGGTCTTATCCGATTATGAAGAAAAGACCAGCAGACCCTTGGGCATTATCCAAGTGGATATGGTTGTAGGAACCACAACTCGACCTATTTTGTTAGTTTTAATTCTAACTAAAGTGAATTGAATTTTTTTGTTGGCTCGAGAATGGATTAATGGAGTTGAGTGTGTCCCATCCTCCATGCACCGAAGAATTACGATCTGAAAGCCGGATGGAATCGTAGAGCACATAAGAGTTGATCAAAGCTTTTTCGTGTAGAAGTGAACCATGCTAGCAAGAGGAATTTGGATCGACAATTGGCAAACATTCGCCATGTACACCAGCATGAATTGGCTTTGATTTTAAGGGGCCCAATGTATACTACTCTGTGAAGTCTGGTGTGATTTTAGGTGCGTCTGAAGATACATCTCCGAATGTATAAAAATCATTTTCATATTTTCAAAGTTGTGGGACGCACCCTTAAGGGTGTAAGGAGCATTTTTCTAAATAAATTTAGTGACAAAAATGATATTAGTGAAATTAATGTTTTAAAATAATTTCTAAAAGTAAATAAGATCAAATTTCTCAAACTCTTTTAAAAATTTTTGAAATTAAATTATCATAAAATTTGATATTATTAAGATATTATTTCTCCCACTCTATGTGGTGGAGAAACACCTTATGAAAATTCAAAAATGTTCTTTCAATTTTAAAAGTACATATTTGGAAGCATCCATTTGAACGAAATCAATATGTAAGTGAGCAACACTTTTATTTTATAAGAAAATATGTAAGGGAGTTTAAAAGTTTGAAAATTTGCTAAAAATGAGGAAAAAGGAGGATATGACACGTATTTGATTAAACTCTCATTCGAAAATGCACTTCAATAAATTATACAAAGATATATTTTCGTATTATTTTTTGTTAAAATAAAGATCTGATTCACTTACAAATAGATTAAAGGTGAACTAAGATGTGCCCGAAATTATATTTCTAAATTCCAAAACCGCGTGTAGTTTTTTTTACAAAGGCCCGACCCTTAGAACAAATATTTTTATACTTATTTACCATAACAAATCAATATATAAAACAAAGGGCTACAAATTTGACCTAGTGATTAGTTAATGAAATGAAAAAAAATAAAATAAACATATTATAATTATTTATAATTTGCTATCAGTATACATATAATATAATTCATTAACTTATTTATCATTGATATTATTTAACATTATTTACAAGTGAATCTTATGCCTGCAAAAAAAAAAAATGAAAAGAAAATATCATATTTTAGTATTTTAAAAACTAAAAATAATTTAGTCTCAAGAAAGATTAAATAGTAAAAAACTAGAACCCACTTGTTTTCCTTCAAACAAGCAGATGAGAATGAAAGCAATGAATGAATTTGTACAAGATGGTAAGAGCCTTGGTTGGTTGTACTAAAAGCTCCAAATTAGATGGCACCACTCCCTCAATCATCTCCTCATCTTCAAAGTCATAACCTTTCTCTTTTTCAGATTATCTGGTAAACAACAATCATGCTTAAAGCTGTTAGACATCTAGCAGACTTGGCACTTATCTACTATACAGGAAATTACCAGCTACTACTTTTCCAGCAAATCCTTCACAAACTTTATATAGAGGTATCAGGACCACATGTGCATAGTCCATGCCATAAGTTTCCCAAAACTGTTGAAGACTATTTCCATCTGCTAAACAAGAAATAATATTTACTCATATTTACCAACCTGAATAGCATCTGTTTGAAGAGCTGTTTTTAACAATAACGGAGGAGGTTTGTGACGAAGACATGAACACAATTCTTTCTTTTCTTGCATTAATCAAGTCAAAAGCTTTGAGAAACCGATTCTTCTCACTTTGCTCAAGAGTAGACCAGAATGCAGGCAGTTTGCCTCGCTAAAGCACAAATAGCAAAGACAATATTCTGGGTCATCAGGTTGCTCTCAGCATCATCTATGAGTGGCATTTTCAATTAGGCTCAACTCACATTCTAAGTAACTATCTAACTTATTCACAAACAAGTCCCCAAAGACCCAAACAGCCACGATCTGCTAAGATGATCATATTACAATCAGACCCAAAATATAGGTATTGAGACAAGTTTATGCTTTCTAATCACTTTATGATTCACAAGAAATACCTGTGCAGAAGCACCCCAGAGTTGCTGCTTGTCACCCCAATACCAAGAATAGATTTAAGTGCCTTGGGACTAACAGAACCAATGAGCTTCTTTATAGCAGCCCCACTCATAGAACCAATAATATTATCATTATCAAATGGAGAAAAAATGTCTCTGATTGCTCGTCCAATTTTGTCAACTTATTCTCATGCCAACCAATCTCATTCTGTAAGCCATCCACAACAATGTCATGAATAAAGTCAAATAGATCAGCCAGATTTACAGATGGATTGCTTTCAATACCAGCAGCTATACTATGCAACATATTTTGCGTGACATGTTTCTTCAAATGAGCAGTCACTGGTGCAAGCAGATTTAGCGCATAGTTTTTGAATGTTACGTTTTGGACGCTCTCAAATGACTTTTTCGTCTTTGTTTCTTTCATTTTTGAAGCTATCTTTTCCACCTCCTTCTGTTCCGCAACAGCTCCAAAAATGTCATTCTCTATGATAGAAAGGAGATCCCCCAAACAGTAATCTATCTTTCCACTAACTGCACTTGAAAGACACTTGGACATGAAGTTCATATCCTCGCTTTAAGGAAGTATTCCAATCCAAGTTCTTTCAAACAAATAGCCAATGCAGACCTAGCTTCATCACGAATGCTTTCAATGACGACTCTTTAACAAGTTTTAAATTCGATGAAGGATAGTTGGAAGATATGTGTCCATCACATCACCTGGAAGTAACTTAAGTAGTTTCAATGCAGCAACACTGATACTTACATTGACCCTTTCTGAATCCAAATCCATCAGCTTTTGTATCTTAGGAAGCACAACTTTATAGAGGCACGTCTGTATATCTGTGTTCAAATCAGACGCACCAAAGGATTTAACAATGTTTTTCATGAAATTCATATTTACATTGTCAATCAGTAATTAACTTTGTATCTATGTCAGTATCATTACAACATCTTTGCCATGCTTGGAAATAGGAATGGTAACTATTTGTCAAACTAATTGAGTCCCAACATATGCAGATATAATTACATATAACTACAAATTCATATAGTATCCAGCTCTGGAATATGATTTATAACATGAATAACCATGTACCTTTCTAACAGAAAGTGGTCCATCCATGGCATCTGCCACGTGCTTCAAGAGAAATTTTTTTGTAATACGCTGGATGCATGATTTTGTCCAACAACTATGAGTGTTTTGCATTACAGACAACTCTTGCAAAATGATGAGTGCAGAAAAATCAACAAAAGATAGCAATAAACTCTGAGCATTATAAACAAAAGTTGTTTCTTCTGAGGACATGTCAAGCACACAGTGTGATAAAATAAGTGATGCATGTTCCACTTCAATATTTCTAAAGAAATTGGTATTGATGTTCCACTTCATCATAACTCATAATTTAAAAAAACCTAAACACTACCAAATAAGTAATAAATAAATAAAACTAGAGGGTGACAAATTAAAATATCTTAGGTTGGACAAGTATAAAAAAAAAGAAAAAAAAAGTAGTAGTATGTGGCATATGAGACACATGGAAAGACAATAAGGAAGTGGCACGTATCGGGTAATGAGAAACACACGAATTTGTTAAAGAAAACCTCATCTCTTCTCCTCTCCACTCATCTCTGCAACACAAGCACTTTAGTTTCAAACCCACTTTTTTTTCTCTCTTTTTTCTTTAGCCATGGCTTATATTAAATCTTGTAGTTCTTATTCTGCTCTACCCTTCTTCCAACGGAGAGCTCTACCACCTTCTTCTCTACCCTTCTTCCAACGGAGAGCTCTACCACCTTCTTCTTCCCCTTTCAACGTCACAGGTTCGTTCATTCTTCACTATTATAGTTACTCTTGTTCCATTTCTTGTACTTTCTACCTTGAGTTCTAATTCATTTCAACTAATTGCTCAGGAACATTCATTCCCCAATGTTTAACACCAAAAATATTAAGTTCCAAGTTTTCAAAGAATGAGACACTCTCTATTCCTAGAAGTACTACTTCTTCTTCTTCAAACTCCACTGATGATGACACCTCTAGTAAAACTAAGGCATGTACTTCTATACCTTGTTATCTTTTATCTTCATATATATTCTTTATTACTTACTGCTAAATTTCTTTCTTGATGTTGCAGAAAACACCATTTGGATATTCAAGGAAAGATGTTATATTAATTGGACTTGGAGTTACTTTCCTTGGCATTGGCTTAAAATCCGGATTAGAGGTACACTTGGCCCAACTGCGGAAACAAATATCGTGTAGAACGTTTTCGATTTATGTTTCTATTTTCTCTTTTGTTATTAGTTCTTGTTCTATGATATATGAATGTAATAGAAATGAGATTAATCATGCTATAATTTGCAGTATGTTGGAGTTGATCCACTACAAGCTGGAAATGTGGTTCAACTTGTGCTGGTTTTGGGTCTCACAATTGGATGGATCTCAACATATATCTTTAGAGTTTCAAATAAGGAAATGACATATGCGCAGCAGCTTCGCGACTACGAAAGCAAAGTCATGGAGGTAAAATTGTTGCCTTCTCTTGTTTTAAGCATAGGAATGACTTGTTCATTTTCTTCCATCTTGAAATTGGGCGGTAAAGAACAAACAAGAGAATAAACTAAGTGTAGCAGAGATGAGATAAAATTAGAAATGACAATATTAGAGACCGATATTCGTGATTAATTAATTTTTTATCAAATTGAAAGCATCTAAGAGACTGAGAAATTGTTTAGACAGAAATATTTGAAGCTTGAAACTTGGGTCTGCAGCATGATGTGTGCTTACATTGTTTCTCAATATATAATTTCGCCCGTATTGAATCTGCAGAAACGATTAGAGTCCCTGACAGAAGCCGAGCTAGAAGTACTGCTTCAAGAAATTGAGGAAGAAAAGAGTCGTAAGCTATAGCCAGTGTGATGAAGAGGTGAATTGAAGTAGTTTTTTGTATATAAACAACCAAGTTTTACAGCAGTCTCTCTCTCTATATGGACTAGTTTAGAAAGGTTTCTGTTATGTTTGCTACAGTTCACTCTCTCGAACAAAATATAGAGAATTCCAAAACTCTTAGCAATATGTAATATTATGCAAGATTATTTACAAAACACATAAACACAAGTTAATTCCATGGAAATTTTGTTTTGAAATGAATGGTATTGATTGATAATTAACATCATCATACCAAAGTGACACATTTTATGTGTGAAGATGTAAATCATACACTACATAATTAGGTTTTTGTTAATCATTACACTATGAGAAAATTATTGGTTATATACCAGAATCATTCACGTGCAGATGCATCTGTATTTTGTATAAACATTGACAGAACCATTTCACGTGCATGTGCTGGTTTGATCCTGAAACCGAAAAAAACAAAAAGATAAGAGGGGGACCTTTCAGAACAAATTCAGGTAATTTCTTGTCCATATTGAAAGTTGATGGATGAAGCATACATTTTTTATTTGCGCTAACAATTTCGCATTGGAATCTCAAATTCGTCCAACTCAAACTACAACAGATGTTTAATAGAGAATACCTTCCCAACCTTTAAATATAATCAAGCCAACAACTACTCAAACCACAATAACAAAAGTTAAATGGTACTATATATCACTAAAATTCAAAACACATTGTGATTGTCATTAATGAAAAATCAAAATAAAATAACATACAAAGACATGTTTTCCTACTTATTACATCATTAATCAAAATAAAATAACATACAAAGACATGTTTTCCTACTTATTACATCATTAATACAAAATGGTAACCACTACAAACCAAACAACACAAAAACAAATTTCTTCACAACATTAATGCAATTCTACATGTTATTTCAGATTTTGTCTACAATATTTTTTGTAGATATGAATATTAAAATAAAATATAAAATGGCTTGAGCTTAAAGATATGGTAACTGTTAAGTATAATAAGTGTGAGTAGTGTGAATAATAATCTCACATTTGATAGAAATGTGGTGACTTGAACGTTTTTAATTCAGAGAATCCATACATCTATTATCTTAAGATTTTTGCTGAATATGTGGTGTGTCTCTCACAAAGGTGTTACTCTAGAAAAGAATAGTCTCGCAATGTTCAATGCTCGCTGGTTGAAAAACTTTCCCAACATATGGTATCATGAGTCTTTGGTTCGAGTGAAGGACCAACTCACTTGTATCGAAAGTACTTCTCACATGAGGTGGTTAGGAGGTGTCCCGTTGAAGAGTGTCAACGGCGATACAAATATATGTGGATGAAACTTCCGCTTAATGGGTCACAAAGGTGTTTCTCTAAAGAAAGGAAAGTCCCACAATGTTCAATACTCCCTAGTGAAAATATCCCCTAACATTGGTATCACGAGCCTTTGGTTCGAGTGAAGGACTGACTCACTTGTATCGAAAGTATCCCCACAGGCGGTGAGTTGAGTGTCCTGTTGAAGAGTGTCAAAGACGATACAAGTGTATGTGGATGAAAAAAGCTTCCGCTTAAGGGGAGCAATGTGGATAGACTCACATTTGAGGGAGATTGTTAAGTATAACGAGTGTGAGTAGTATGTGTAATAGTCCCACATTACCTAGAAATATGGAGACTTGAGCATTTATAAGTGGGATAATTCATACACCTATCACCTTAAGGTTTTGGGTGAATATGTGGCGTGTCTCTCACGAAGGTGTTACTCAAGAAAGGAAGTTCCACAATGTTCAATACTCCCTAGTAAAAATCTTTCCCAACAATAATGTAGATGTGTTATTGGCTCCACATCTAAAATCTCATTCACGAATTTTTTTAGATCTGAATAAGATAGAAGGGAAAAAATATATAATTTTAATATATGAAACGTCAAATCAATTTAAAAATTTGTAAATGAAAAAACACAATCAAATGATTCAATCAATTTTCATATGTTGAACAAGCTAGTGGTGAACATCTATCTGTGTCTACTGACGGGGAAATGAGGTATGGGTTTCTTCACCAACTCCTGATAGTTGGAGATGGAGGCTCGATGCAGAACCATATACCATCGCAAGGCTGTGTTCCTAAAGGTGCCAAACATCAATTTTCACTTCAGGGAGTCAGACGTTTCGCTGATGACCATCTAGGTGTTGATGGAGGCAAGCATTCATAGGGATCACTGCGTCCATCAAAATTCGCCATAGGGGGTGAGAGGCTTGGACCCTTCAAGGATAAATGCTTCCCATATTTTATGTTACAATGGTTAGGGGTACAACACCTCTTTATCTCTTTATCTTTTGGAGGATTTGTCTCCTATTGGCGTTGTTGAATGTTGAGGACATTGTTCTCAAGAATTTGATTATAACGACGAAGTTCATCCACGACGACACGCATCCTCACCAGGGTATTGACATCAGTTCTACCACTAGTGTTCTCCCGCATATGGGATGGAAATCTCATATTGACCATAGTTGGGAATGGATGGGTACAGGAAGGGGGTGGCAATGAGTATGGTGATTGTAATAGAAAATGTGACCCAATTTAGTTTTACCAGGGCCATACGGTGGACACATTGTACTTGCCAAAAAGTACAAAAGTGCATGGTATTGTTAGAAATTTAATTTAAACCGAATGGATCGAGGCTAGAATCTTGAACGAAATCATTTTCCTTAAAATTATTTCAAGCACTCTGAAATATGTTTTAGAGTTGGAACGCAGGAATACCCAAGATAATTCAGTCTTATATCGAATTTGAGCAAGACTGACGAAAACTCGATTTGTAGCGAATAGTGTTTGAAATTTGTACAAGAGGATATTTTGTTTGTGATATGATTTTCTAAATTCCAGAATGAGTATTTATAGGCCATGTATGTGTTGTTTCACTAGGTTGCGACCCTTGATGAAACAACACCTTTTTAGCATAAGATTGCAATGGTTCGCCTATAGTTACATTATGCACCACTTCATGAAGTGTTGTATATTTTGAATTCGAAATTTAAACTTTCATTAGCACGAGACAAATTTAACGACAACTTCCACTGATGGATGTTTAGTGCAAAAACTGACCAAAATTTCCTTTGGATAGATATGAAGGCAATTTCCACTTTTGTCTATGGGGCACTTTTATTCTCTTTAACTTTGTCATATTTGAACACACCCATGAACATTAATTATCCATTAATTTCCAACAATCCCCCACTTGTTCTAATATTAACAAGACCAATTCCAAAAAAGAGAAACTAAGAATGTTAATATAGTTATGTATCTTTCGATTTAAAACTTAACCTCAGTAAAGACAATAACAAAGTCTAATCGGAATGTTAGGTGGCAATGCTTTTAAACCATTAATCCATGTGAATAGACTGACGTTATCTTACACACATTCTTTAAAGGTTCTTCACCTACATTTCTCGCCTAACACTTATTTATGGTCATATGCTTTCTTGTTTCATGAATTTTTCGTGTGAGAAACTCCAACTCTCACTTTGAGACGACACCATCTCGAAAATCACATAAGTGAAGTTTATATTGTATCCTTTTCCATGAGACACGTACCTTCGGTATTGAAATTCATTAAGAGTTTAAATAAAAACTCAACCCTCATTTTAAAGGTCAATATTATCACGAAATATTAGACAAACACCCAAAGCAACGACTTGTTGTCACCCATTGAATCTTGAGGTTAATGTTCTGTTAACGTAAGATTGGGTTGCCGCCACTGTCAGAACTCTTGCTCAAGGAGTTTCAACCCTATGTCTCTCGAGGTTGTGTTTACTAAGTCTCTGGCCTGAGGCTTAGTAAGTGGATCAAGAAAATTACACCTTGATCGTATATATGTGAATGATTACATCCTTAATCAATTTTCTCACGAAAGAATGTCTAAATCCTACTTGCTTAGACTTTCTGTTATACACTTTTTGTATGCTTTGGTTAAAGTGATTTGACTACTGCAATGTATCAACATCTTTGAAACAATGTCTTTAGCCAATGGAACTTCCAACAGAAGGTCTCTTCAACCATTCAACTTCTTCATCAGCGGAAGCAGGAGTCTCAAACTCTAATTCTATGGTTGAGAGAGTGATCTACATTTATTTCTTGCTCTCTAAAGAAATTGCACCATAGACTAGTGTAAATATTTACCCAAATACAAATTTATGATATTCAACACTTGATATGCAACTCACATTAGTATATCCTTCTAATATGGTAGAAAATATACCATAATGGAGCCCAAGATTTTGGTTTTCATAAGATAGCCGAAAACCTTAATGATGGTCTTCTAGTGCTTACGATTTGGATTGCTAGTAAAATCTACTCATTTTACTAATTGCAAATGCTATGTCGGATCTAGTACATTGCATGCACTTGCATATTCCAACTGAGACATAACTCTTTCATCGTTCTTTTAAAGTTTGACACTATGATCAAATGGAGTGGTCACTTCCTTAAAGCGTAAGTGTTTGAACTTATCAAACACTTTTTTAACATAGTGTGTTTGACTACGTTCATAACCCCCACTATTTTCGCTTTACTTTGATCCCACAAAGTGTGTCAACTAGTCTAAGATCATTCATCTTGAATGTGGAAGTTAGAAACCTCTTTGTTTCTAAACATTTCATTCATCTTGTTGCTAATGATCAATCATATAATTATATAATCAACATGGAGACAAATGAATATCACAATATTCTCACACAACTTTGTGTACAAACACTTGTAACAAGAATCAAATGAAGAATGTTTTTAGATAATCATGTATGATGATACAAGAAGGTTTTAGATGAAGTGAGAGATGAAATTATGAAAAATTAAAAGTAGTATAGTATAAATTACAATGAACACCTTATTTATGTTCACTTGTCTCAAATCTTCACTCGAATTTATATGCTAAACTTTCTTGATCAACTTCACCATTGATGTGCATGACACTTTTGAACCTTTTCTTCTTTGATAATCTTTGTCTTTATCAAAATTGAACTAAATATAAGACGTATTCACCACAATCTCCCCCTTTTGATGATGACAAAGTCTTTGAATTCTTGTTTTGATAATGATTGAAAAGTCCCTCCTAAGTTGCGTATCTCTCCTTAATTGGTGAATCTTGTAATGACAGTCAAACTTTTGATGTCATTGTTTCGGTGCTTGTTTTAATCCATACAAGGATTTGAAAAGTTTGCATGCCTTTTGTTCATTATCAAGAAGCATATAACCTTCTAGTTTCTCCTTATAAATCTCCTCATCGAGATCTCCATTTAGTAATGTCATTTTGACATTCATTTGATGAACTATAAGGTCATGCTAATAAGCTAATGCAAATGATACTCCAATTTCATTATCCTTGCTAATAGTACATATGTGTCAAATGATAAACAATTTATTTTTATTTAACAATACCATTGACCATTAATTTAGACTTATAGGTGTTTAGTGTATCATTATATTATGATACTTATTTCTAAACAAGAGGAGTCTCTTGAAGCTATTACTTTCTTCTAGAGTATGAATGTGATCATTCTTATTATACATCAAATATTAGTTCTTAAATTGTTTGAATAATTAATTTATATATATATATATATATATATATATAAATCAAATAAATCAGTTCTTGAATAAATTTGATGAAAGAGATACTCTTGCTTAACATAGCTTATCACTTTAAAATTCGTGTAATTCATATTTTCTGATTGTGGGACATGTTTTCGGAGGAATTTTAATAAAAAAAAAAAGAGAGAAGAGGGAGTCAATGATCCGAGTTTATACACCGGTGGTGCATGGAATAATGTCCTGTATTGGAACTTAAGCTTTTCTTAATTTAAACAGCCGAAAAAGTGACAGGTTAGTGAAGTGAACCAGATGCAAAGCCACGTGCCCTTTTCATCCTATTATATTCAAACACCAACACCAATCATTCATCCCAATTAACTTAACTTCTTCTTCCTGAACAAGATGCAAAGCCACGTGTCCTTTTCATCCTATTAAATTCAAACACCAACACCAATCATTCATCCCAATTAACTTAACTTCTTCTTCCTTTCACACTAACCAACACTCTAATTAAGCAATTAACATAATTAACAACAGTAAATTAAATAAAAAATATAAATACTACGCTACTCTCTCTCTCTCTCTCTCTCTTTCTCTTGTCTGAAACAAACCTTCATCCGTACTCATGGCCGTTTCTATTTCCCTCATCCCTCCCAATTCCAAACCACCGTTCTCCATTTCTTCTTTCTAAATTCTCCCCTCAACCATACACGTATCTCTCAAGTCACTCTTCACACACGCTTTTTTCTTTACATGGAGTCGGGGATTATAGTTATCTCTCTCAAAACCCTAATTCCGCCGTGAAACGCTTTTATCTAATCGATTCAACATGGCGATTGTCACCGGAGATCGCTATTTGGACAAACTCGTCAAGTTCGTCGAGGAAGAGGCCGGTCATCTCATCGAAGGACCCTTGGTCTTGAAGCTAAATCCGGCAGGGCTTCACTACGTTCAATCCAGGCTCGAGGCTCTGCATGAGGTAGAGAGTCTTCTCGTCGGAGCTCCGGTCGACTACCTCCGAGCCTACGTCTCCGACCTCGGTGATCATCGCGCGCTTGAGCAACTCCGGAGGATCCTTCGCCTTCTCACTTCGCTCAAGGTGGTTTCCGTGTTGCCACCTCCTGTTAGAGATCCCACGCCCTTGTCGTTTTTGCCGTTTGGGCGGTTGAAGGTTCTGGAGCTCAGAGGTTGCGACTTGTCAACTTCCGCCGCAAAAGGCTTGCTCGAGCTTAGGCATACTCTCGAGAAGATTATTTGTCATAATTCTACCGTTAGTTTCAATTCTCACTTTGTTGGAATCATTATTTTGTTTGTTTTATTTGAATATGTATATATTTGGTAATCATTGAGCTGATTTTGTCTTGTATAGGATGCTCTGCGGCATGTATTTGCTAGTAGGATAACAGAGATAAAGGATTCTCCTAAATGGAACCGGTTATCGTTTGTGTCTTGTGCATGCAATGGTTTGGTTCTCATGGATGAGTCTTTGCAGCTTCTTCCTGCAGTGGAAACTCTTGATCTTAGCAGGAACAAATTTGCAAAGGTTGATAATCTGCATCACTGTACCAAATTGAAGCATTTGGACCTTGGTTTCAATCACCTCAGAACATTTGCTCCCTTCACCCAGGTTGGTATTCGGTTTAAATATTGCGTTGCTTACAACTGGTGTGTATAGGATGACTATATTTTGCATCTTGCATTACAAGTTAGAATATTAAAGATTTTGACTTAGTTGACTGTATCGTATCATTGGCGAACTTGAGTGAGTTTATTTTGTGCTTATCTCCCTTCTAAATACGAAGTAACATTTTAAACACTGGGCCACAAAATTGTAAAAGTTTTGGATTAGAGGGATTGATTGTTAATTGTATGGTTGATCTAATTGTTGAGAACAAAGCCAACTGCAGTAAAACCTCAGCCAGGTTATTCTAATACTAGTAACTTGAATTTACCACAGTATGACAGTGAGATGTTAGAGACTGCAAACTCAATTATACATCCTTGTATTCTCCCTCTCTGGATTTAGATTTTTCCTTTGGCCACCTTGGTTGAGTAATGTGTATTTATGTTACCCTTGGATAGGGTTTTCAAAGGTGTTAAGGACTCCTCATAGCATAAACTATTAGTTAGGCGCAGCTGCAGCATAAGAATGTTTGGTCTCAAACAGAAAACAAGCTATATTAAATTGACGAGACCCATGACAGAAAACAAGCTTTATAGTTAGTCTGAATGCTCACAGTATGAATTCTTGTCTCAGTAAAAGTTGTAAATACATGTCTTGCATGAGTTTCTAATTGTCAATTATTGTGGGAAAAGAAATTCTCTGACAATGGTTTATGTGTGTTGTGTTTGTGATTTTCATGTTGATCAAATCATGTACCACCATATAAGGAGTAGATGCAGACTTGCCACACATTCATTCACCTGGATAGATCCATAGAAATCATTTAGTCCCCAACTTCCGATAATGGACTGTCAATCTATGTTTATTTTGTGCTCTCTTTATAATGTGATTCAATTCATTTTTCATTAATTTCACCAGCCACATAAAGAGCAGCAAGGCCCTCTTAAGTTAATCTGCTTGCAGTCTCAACTTCTGTGATTCATGGAATATGAATTGGCATTTTGGAATTGTTAGTGTGATGATTTTTGCTTGTGACTTCGAATTTATTGTTCGTAGAACTCGATAGGCAATCTAGTTGAAGAGTCATCTATTTATGCTAGCTAGTTACTAGTTGAAGAGTCATCTATTTATGCTAGCTAGTTACTTAGGGTACGTAAATGTGAGAATGCAAATTATTTGAACGAAAGTTCTTAATACATTGTTTTTATTTATTGTATGTCTTTCAGTTAGTCGTTTGCTTTGGACCCACATTACCAATTTTGTTGGATCATGCAGGTCTCATGTCATATTGTTAAACTTGTTTTAAGGAACAATGCTCTAACTACTTTGCGAGGGATTGAGAATTTGAAGTCACTTGAAGGACTTGATGTTTCCTACAATATTATTTCCAATTTTTCAGAGCTTGAGTTCCTTGCGGGCCTTTTGTATCTAAAAAGCTTGTGGTTGGAAGGAAATCCTTTATGTTGTGCCCGATGGTATAGGGCACATGTATTCAGTTTCTTTGTCTACCCTGAAAGGGTAAGTTTATATATTTTGCTTACACTGTATAACACACACACAGAGTCTAAAAATATGTCTCCAGCTCTGTCTATCTGTTTGTTTGTGACCTCAATATATTTTGCTCTTATTTGAGGGTATGACTGTCCATATTTTTGCTTTTCAGAAGTGTGTTTCACTGTATTGGTATTTACTACTTTTTTGTACACTTAGAATCATTTTTCTTAAGTTCACATCATTTTCTGTGTGAATCTTCACCTTTTTTTTTTCTTTTCATTTTTTCCTTTCAAACTTACAGCAATTCTCCTTTATGTTGATCAGTTAAAGTTAGACGAGAAGGAAATTAATGCTACAGATTTTTGGACGAGACAAATAATTATTGCCAGTATGCATAAGCAACCTGCCAGCTTTGGGATTTATGTACCTGCCAAGGATGAGGCTATAGTGGAAGGTGGAAATAATAGAAGGGTATGTATTATTGAAATTATACATGTAGGTGTAAAAGTGAAAAGTGATAAATAATTTATTTTGCACTTCAATTTTGTTCTAAATTACCTCATTTCTGAAAATTGAACTTAAGAGGCCAATTTTATCATTTACCTGTCACATTATTTAAAAAAACCTAATAGTTTCCTCTTTGGATCTTCATAGAGATAAATGTCACATTATTCTTGTTTTCTCAAGCAGAGAAAGGTCTATCGTGTTGCCAGCATTGAGAGTGAAGGAGAGATTACTAGTATTTGTTCTGATCCAGAGTCTCAGTCACGCGTGAATGAAACTCAAAATAACGAGGATCCTAATTTATTTGACGATGAAGCTGAAATAGCGGATTTGATGAATAAAGTTGAACACATGAAGAAAGAGCGTTCTATTCTTTGGTTGCGGGAATTTAGAGACTGGATGAATATTTCTTCTGACAAATCGGCAGAAATTGGGAAAAAGGGTAGAGGTAAATCACACCATCAGAAAGATAATTTCTTCAGAAACAGTGCAAATCAAGAGCAACATGGTGAAGTCTCAAGATATGCATCAGACTCTATTCTAGCTTCAGGTGATGAGAGTAGCTTGAATATTTTAGAATATGATAGTTCTTTTGCAGATATGTCTGCTTGGTTTCATAGACAGCAATACTTTGACTGCCAAGGATCTCTTGGTAATGCTAGTGGGGCCTCTCTTTCTGACTTAGGGGGAGTGGATTTGGAACGTTTCAAAGCTTTTTTTTCACTTCAGGGAATTAACACACCCCTCTCACAATCTAAAAATTCTCATTCTGACACCATTGCCACCCATGGAGCAGATTTAAGGACTGAAAATGTCAACTTATCTCCATTGACCACTATTGATGATGTAAATGGGTCTCGGTCATCATCTATATGTCCCACATCTCCTCCTCACTTTCAAGAAGACCTTCTTCATCGCCGCCATAACTTGGTGGAGGAAATTTTGCAACTGTCGGCTGATTCCTTTTCAGTGGCGTCTTCTGATAGTAACACAAGCTGTAGTGTGGTTGATTGCACCGAGTTTGAACCACCAGTTCCTGTAGTTGATAGTCCCCCATGCAAAAATGATGTGAATGGGAGTGTTGATGGACATATATCTCTAAATCAACACGAGGAAGAATATTGCAGCCCTAGACAAGGAATTATTCATGCAGGGAAAAATGACATTTGTTCAGTTGGTTCATCCAGTGACCAAACTTCTAAGCAGTGTTCAATTGATTTTGCTGCTGGTGCTGGTGACGGCGATGGTGAGAGTGCACTTTCTGCTAGCCAACAAACTGATTTGTTTGAGAAAAGAAAAATCAGAAAAAAAGCCAAGAAGAGAGTTATTTCAATATTTGAAGATAATGTAGACATCAATGCGTGTGGTCACGGACAAGAGCAGATGCACCAAGGACAGGTTTCTGGAAATTTAAGACAAGAATCAGGTGTTGATGATTTCACTGAATTTAGTTGGCGTTCTTGCTCTACCCTAGACAATGATGATTTTATCATCGCATATTTCAATACAAATATTGCTGATTCTGAAGCCAAGGAAGTTTGTAGCCATTGCATCCGTTGTAATTGCATCCTTCAAATGGAGACAAACTATAAAGAAAGGTAATTTTCAGTTGATCTAATTCACGAGCATTTGAGTGGAAAAATCAGATGGACATATCTTCACTTTATGCAGTTCTGTTGATTGGGCATCTTGTTATTCCCGTGGAGACATTTTTTAGGGATACAAGTCATTTATTATTCATAATCATGATTTACATTTTAACTTTATGGTGTTCATTTCCTGTGTTGAGTGTCTCATCTTCAAAATTAAATTGGGGTATGCTCAAATTGCCATTTCACTGGATTATGATAATATCAAGTTGGCTACTCCCCGAGTGTTAACCTTACACATAATCACCTATGATGTTAACCCATGATAAGTATTTCTCTTCTAATTGACCAGTCTTTACTACAGTTAACTGTTGATTACATTCAGCAGTGTCTGCAAGGAGTAGTAAAATTATCTGGATGTATCTAGTGGTTTTCCTTCCTTCAACCATTAAGCTAGAAACTTTTTCTCTAATCCACCCCAACAATTGCACATAAGGTGGAAAAAGAGGCAAGTGGCCAAAGTATAAAAAGTTCAAACCTGTTTTTTTCTTTCCAAAGTCAATAGTTAGCTATATAATTTTTATAGCAAGAATGGTAAACTAGTACCCACGATGACTTAAAAGCTATATTAAATCTCCCGAACTTAACCCTTTGGTATAACCCAAAAATGATACTTGTTTTATAATTCTTTTTGTTTTATTTTAAAAGAATAGTGATTGATAATTGAAAGTAAGTGTCATGTCTGTAACAATCATGTGAAACTAATAATTTAGAAAGTACTGTAATCAACAAGCAAAGATTAGGTCAATTTTTATGTAAATGAAATGTATAAATAATACTGTTTCTTTCCAGAGTTTTTGTTAGATATTTTTATTGGTTTTGTTATCTTTTATCGCCAAACAATATCATCTAGATAACTTTTATCACCAAACAAGATCATATAGATAAAAAACATTATGAGAACTTTTGGATCACATTTCATAATTAACATATTCTATAATATTGAAGTGTTATGATAACAAAAAGAGTATAATCAATTTCCACTGTCAACATTCTTACTTTTTTCTACTCTGTCTTAATTTTTTCCATCACCCAAAAGTTTGGTTCAGAACCATTACTGGTATAGGCAATAGAAATGATTTGATGTGATACTTCCAAAATAAACACTTGAAATGATTATTACTAAAATTACCCCTATCCACATTATTCAGCACTTATTATGTCTTAAAAAATTTGCACATTTCTGTGGCATGTATAATTTCTTTATTTGTCCATGTAGGGAAGTTGCAGTATTGCTGAGCAACCATAAGAAGCTCTATGTGCTGCTAATCAATGTTGCTTCTGATGGATCAGGTTTGGCCCGTAGCCTTTCTTTTTTGTTGGCACAAGGAGCTTGCATTTTTTTTAGTTCCTTCATTCATTTGGCTCTGGTGCCCCCGCTTACCATATTAATTTTTGTAAGAAATACTAAACCTACTTTTCTGTTTCGGAGGTTAACATGATTCAGTGCCCTTCCATAACGTTACTGATAGAACTAGAATATGAGTAAGAGATAGATAGTATATACTGAATAGAATAATTATTATAATCGACAACACTGAGAATAACTTCTGGAGAATTGCCAACAAGAACATGGAGAAATACAAACTGCTGTAATTCAAATAAAATAACTACTAATAACTAACCCAGCCTATAGGAATCAGAGAGCCAACCTGTTGACAAATAACCCAATGCCCTCCTCTGTCCTTAACTCATATTTATAATTGCATCAAATACAATAACTGCTAACTGCTGTCCCATTTCATAACTGCTACATAAACTCTGTTTCGGGCCTTCTTGGATTAATGGCCATTTTTAGAGTATTAGTTCTCATGATGGGGGGCCTTCCTTTTTCAAACAATCACCTATGATGGGTAAACTATTTACCGGGTTGCTTGATGAAGTCCTCAACAAAGCCATTCATATATATATATGTACAAGATTTCCATTTTAATCCAGGAATGTATATTGGAAGAGGCAATGATAACAAGATTTACTTATTAATCCAGGAATGCATATTGGAAGAGGCAATGATAACAAGATTTACTTATTAATCCAGGAATGCATATTGGAAGAGGCAATCATAAAAGTGGAGTTTAAGAATATGAATATGAGGAAACTAACATAATTACTCTCCCCAAATAGATGTACTTTCCAACAACATTCTTCTTGTTTGGCTGCTTTATTACTGAAAACAGACTTGATAGTTAATACTGCATTGATAAATAATTTGTGCCTGGTGACTCCAAGGAGCTTTTTAACTTTTCACTGTTCAAACATGAGTGATGATTGACCACAGTACCCTCATTTATTCATCTCTATGTCATATTGCATTTTTTTGGTTGCTTTATCTCTTGATGTGATTTTATCTTGTCCAAACAAAATGTTCACTTATGCTAATTTTTTAAGTATCATTCCGAAACACAAATCATTTTTAAGTCCTTTCTTTGTTAAGTTTTTAAAATCAGTTCTACAAATATCTAAACCCAATGGGCGCTTAAAATACTCAATTTTCACTTCCTTTAACTTTGGACAAGGATTATAATACATGCCAAACTGCCAATGTTTTATCCAGTTTACAGCTTGAAAAAGGAACACAACTTTTCAAGTACCTCCTAATAGTTCAACAACATCGAGAAAGCCATGTTAATTTCAACAAAATAGAATAGAAAGTTTTGTTGACACTCAGTTACTTTTATTGCTTTTAAAAACCCTCTTAAATATGCCATCCAGGGGCACTATTGAGAGTCTTGAGTCGCCACAAAATGGAAGAAGTTCGGGAGGTGCTTGTTGGAATGGGCCTTCAGATGTTAAGGTTAGTGGACTTGTAAATTTACATTAACTAAAGCAGTAACTTTTAACTGTGATTCTTTTGGCTCATCAGGGTAAATTTTGAGGGTGGTAAAACGTACCTATTTGTAACAAGAAGCATTGAAATGTCAAGAGAGTTACTATGTACCATACACGTGTTTGATTCATGTGATGGAAATGCTAGATGCTCATTAAGAAGGTAGTTTCCTTTGCCTTGTAAATTATTAATTTGGGTGGAAATGCATGTCTATACTTTTATTTTTGAAAAGTTCGTTGCTGCTGATATCAGCAATTCCTCTATAGTTATGATTTATGATCAGTTCCTTTCTATTTTCAAATTTTCCTTCTGTAATAGACTGTGGTTTTGGAAATTTAAATGGCAGTTTGGAGCAGGTCCAGGTTGAGTTGTTTAGCCATCAAATATGTGGTGGTTCAAATTTCAGCATATATCAGTATGCTATGGTGCTCATCTGTTGTAAGAATGGCAATGGTAAGCTTCTCTCTAGTAATTTAATGTTACATTTTTTTTCTTTATATTCTGTTCTACTAAAAGTAGCAGTTGTCATTTCTTGTTTATTTTTGTCATAAGATTAAAATACTGCTCTGAAATATTTTATTAAATACTTCTCAGAACTAGTGAATGGTATTTTTTTTCTTCAAGAGGTTGTTTTCTTAGATGGTTGAAACGATGCATAGCTTGTTTGGTTGACAACCTTGAGAAGGTTTAAGAAACTACATGGCACTATTAATTGTACTGGATATGGAAGTATTTACAATGTATCTTTAATTGAAATTTGCAAGGGTATTTATGTTCTTTTTTTAGTTATCACTTAACAGAGGTAAAGCTATCCTCTCTTTTACACTTACAGAAGAATCATGGCTGTCAAGATCGCTGTTTGTGATAGGAGGTTATGTACTTCTATGCATTGAAGATATCAAGCAACTATATTCATTTTCATCAGATGCCGCGGTGTCTCCTTATTACAGAATCGATTCATGTTGCTCCATTGCTGACATTACTGAGATGGTGAGTATTTTCTGGGGCTAAGTGAAGCAGAAAATACCTGACATTAGAAACAATAAAAAAAGTTCTGAAATGTTACTTTGCAGGTGATTGGGGTTGGTGATACCTTCTGTGTTACTTTAGGTCTGAAATGTTCTTTGACAGACTTTTATCCCTCTACCCGAATGAACCTTGTAACAATCAGTCATGGAGACACGGCCCCAGGCTCTCTGAAATTAAAGCTTCGGTGGTTCTCGAAAGATAACCTTTTGCAGTTTGTGTCTTTGGTGAAGGCATTTCATGCAGAAAAAACGGGGTCGCCTATGGTAGTAAGATGTACATAGTAATTTTTTTTTTTCCTGTTGGTTCATATTCATTTCATTCATTTGATTTTAATTTTTGTATTCTTTTTTAGTGTTGTGTGGTTCAGTGTGTTCATGATAGCTTTCTCCATTTAATTCTTTGATTTAAATCCACGTAGTGGCTGTTCTTTTTAATGTATAGAATTTGTACAGTGTTGGTGAACTTTTGTTTGATATTATAATTTTACTATAGTTAAATATGTTGTTACCCAACTAATTGTTGGTTTGATTCTGGCGGTAGTTTACTCAGCTCACTATAATTAGCTGTCCTGTAATTGATTAGTTCAACTAATTCCTTTTGCTTTTCTGTTTGTTTTACATTATCCAGCTTCCATCTTTTATCTTAATTTACTTTACTTTGGTTCGAATAGACTTTCAGATATTCAATTGGATAATAAAGAAATAGACTTATAATTAAATTATAGATAAATATTGTCTAATAGTTTTTTTAATGAAAGATGTTTTGATTTAGAAGTATTAATAATATTGTTATATTAGTATGCTATTAGAAACTATAAAGAAATGTTCAGATATATATATATATATATATTAGCATGTTATTAGAAACTATAAATAAATGTTCAGATATATATATATATATATATATATATATATATATATATATATATATATATATATATATATATATATATATATATATATATATATATATATATATATATATATATATATATATATATATATATATATATATATATATATATATATATATATATATATATATATATATATATATATATATATATATATATATATATATATATATATATATATATATATATATATATATATATATATATATATATATATATATATTAGCATGTTATTAGAAACTATAAAGAAATGTTCATATATATATATATATATATATATATATATATATATATATATATATATATATATATATATATATATATATATATATATATATATATATATATATATATATATATATATATATATATATATATATATATATATATATATATATATATATATGTTGTTAGAAACTATAAAGAATTGTTCAGATATTGAACTATTGACCGATAATTTATGGTGAACACAAAAAAAAATAAAAAATGGAAGAAATCCAAAGGAAAAGAAAAAACTACACAATTATAAGCCTAGGGGTAATAACACCCACCAAATCTTTATCTAAGAAGGGAACCAAAAAGGGGGACAATAATGGAAGATACACATCTTGTGGAGAAGAAAGACCTTGTCTAACAATCATATCCGCACATGTATTTGCTTTTCTAAAGATATGCAAAATGGAGTTATTAGTGCCGCAGATTCAAATCAACATCACTACTCACAATTCCATCTCTATAGTAATCTTCAAACCTTCATATACTCCTCAAGCCCAGCAGTATAAATGTCACACACTCCGATACGCTAAGAAAAACCAATTAGCCATTCGCCATCACTTCCTCGAATTATGTCTCCACAACTAGCATTTTTAAATTTATTTCTTATTCCAGCAGTATTAATTTTCACTCTTTTCACTCTACCCATTAAGGGTGTCTCCCACTTAATAAGTCTCACTTTCTTAATATGATTCGTCATCGTTGAATTATGTCTTCACAACTAGCATTTCCAACTTTATCTCTTACTCGATCAGTATTAATTTTTAGTCTACCCATTAAGGGTGTCTCCCACTTAATAAGTTTCACTTCCTTAATAGGATCCCTATTTGAACCCCGCCATGCTATAATCATGCATCAATTTCTTAATTTGAGTCACCATATCCCTCGGTCTTGAGTAATTGTCATTATAATTTTCTTTATTGTGCCAAAGATTATGGCAAATTTGGGCCCAAAACTCTTTCTAACCTTCCTCTTTGTGCCAACCCATATTTTCATTCTAGTTACTATGAATCCAAGCCTTGAGATTACTTGCAGAAAATGATGCCCTTTTGTTAGTATGAACCTCCATCCACCATATTGCCATAGCATGTGGACAGTCTCTAAAAACATGCAAAATGTCTTCCTCCACATCTCCACATCGATTGCACATGACGTTACTAACACCAAATCTAACTTTCTTCACATTGGTGAGCAATCCATCATGAGTCACCATCCAAATGAAAGTTCTCGTAGGTTGCGGCGCTCGAATCCTCTAAATAATGTCGTAATCTTCCATATTCTACTACATTACTTTATCATCTAGTAATGCATACAATATGTTAGTAGGCCCAAACGCACTACTACTCAACCCAAATGGATGGGGGACTATGAACTTAAATAGGATGCTGTATTAGTTTATTTATTATATTTCACTTGTTGGGTCTGTTTGTTATGGCCCAGTTTCTAGTTACTCTTTTGTATTTATTCTTGGTTTCCTCTTTGAGAGAGGCAAGAAGAAAGACATTTATAATATTTTCGTTCATGTTTTCCTCCTGTTTTAGTATGGTAAATGGTAAACCCTAGATCTAGAAATTAGTAGTTGAATCCTCTTTATCAATTGGTGCTTTCAATCCTTTACACTCATGGCCCCTCCCTCAAAAACCTAAAACCCTAGAGACATTATTGATGAAGCTGTCCAAACAGCTCACATCCATCTTGACAATGCCATGAATCAAACGCAACAACAACTAGATGAGCGTTTTGACAAAACATTTGTAGATCTGGAACTCATACACACTCACTTGGATAATGAAAAACAGGTTTCCGATTCTCGGTATGACAACATCATGGATGTGCTTAACAAACTGGTTATTCAAAAGGAAAAATCACCACATACTACTGCTCAAGCCACAACAGCGTCCTCTTCAGGTATCCCTCACCTTTCTCACTCTTTTCCAATACCCACAACACATCCCAGCCCTATTATTTCACACGCCACCTCTCCCATTTCACACCAACCCTTTACCCCTTTATTAAACTCAGGCTCTTTTTCGCCCTACCCACACTTATCTACCATGGCCACTGCTGCACTACATTCTACACCCACTCAAATCCCTAGACCTTTCCATTCACCTCACGTCACTCAGACTATTCCATTGCCCTACGACACAAATTTTAATTTTCCCCCATTTCCCTCTATTTTCTTTCCACCCACACACCAAGCTACACCTCTTCCATCTTTTCGTACCCCAGAATTGGAGCTCCCATTGTTTGATGGCTCTAACCCTTTGGAATGGTTATTTCAAGCTGACCAATTTTTTGAATTTTACCAATTACCCCATGAGAACAGATTATCCTTGATCTCATTTTATATGAAAGGGGAAGCTTTATGTTGGTTTAAATGGATGCATCAAAGCCGTCTGCTAATAGACTGGCCATCATTCACGAAGGCGCTGGAATTACGTTTTGGACCATCGACTTATGTAAATTACCAGGCTGAACTATTTAAGTTAAGGCAAACAGGATCTGTCACAGAATACCAAGCTATGTTTGAAAAGTTAGGCACCCAAGTGGTGGGATTATCTCCAGAAGCCACTCTAAATTGTTTCATTTCTGGACTGGCAAGCGAAATACAAAATGAGATCGCTATTCATAAACCGGTTTCTATTTCCCAAGCTATTGGTTTAGCTAAACTAATTGAATCCAAAATCAAGGATTCGAAACCCAAATATCAGAAACCCTTTTCCTACATTCCAAACAAACCACACCCTAATCCAACACCTACTTCCACACCCCCCAGACCTTCCGCTGCAGCCCTTCTGTAATACCCCAAATTTTACCCTTTCTTTTTTATTTTATTTTATTTTTTTATTTATTTTATTTTAAATTCTTATTTAATAAATTAACCTTTTTTTTAGATCTTGTTTTTTTTAACTAATAATAATTTAATTAAATTTTTTTTATAACTTTACTAACGTTTTTTATTAACTTTTTTTTTCTTTTTTCTTTTCTATTTAGTTTATTTATTTAAATCATTTTAAGCTCTTCTTACTAACTTTTAGGATTTAGATTAAAATTTAACTTTTTTTTCTTTTCTTTAAGAGTAAATTTTTTTATAACCTTTTTTAAATTAATTTCTAACACATTTTTTTAATCAGATTCTAATACTTTTTTTTAAATTTTTTTTCTAACTCCTCTTTAAAGTTAAATCTTTTTCTATCTCTTTAAAGTTAAATCTTTTTCTATCTCTTTAAAGTTAAATCTTTTTCTACCTTTTTTTAAAGTTAAATATTTTTTTCTAACTTTTTTTAAAACTAAATCTTTTTTTTTCTAACTTTTTTAAAGTTAAATATTTTTTTCTAACTTCTTTTTTAAAATTAAATCTTTTTTCTAACTTTTATAAAGTTAAATCTTTTTTTCTAACTTCTTTTTAAAATTAAATCTTTTTTCTAACTTTTATAAAATTAAATATTTTTTTCTAACCTTTTTAAAACTAAATTTTTTTTTTCTAACTTTTTTAAAATTAAATCTTTTTTTCTCTAACTTCTTTTTAAAATTAAATCTTTTTTTCCTCTAAATTCTTTTTTAAAATTAAATCTTTTTTTTTTTCTAACTATTTTTAAATGTCACCTTTGTCACTTTTTTTGTTCTTTATTATTTTTACTCTAAATTTTTCTATCTTTCATTAAAAAAATAACAAAAATAGTTTTTTATTATTATTTAATTATTATTTTCGTATTTTAATTAAATCATTTTTTAAAATATTATTTTTTTCACTTTTTTCTAAATTATTCATAAAAATATCCAAAAAATCATAAAATAAAAAAATATTGAAAAATTTTGTTCCTTTTATAATATTTTTTATTTTAGGAATCAATAGGATTATTAGTTTTTATTTTAAGTTTATTTTAATTATTTTAAATTATTTAAATTTTTTTTTTCTTAACTAATTATTTAGTTTGGGCTTTAAAATGGGCTTTAGGGACATTATTGACAATTTGGTGTTAACCCTAATTTGTTCCCTATATATATATATGTGTTGCTTTGTTGAAGAGGAGGTCAGAAGGTTTTCTTCAGAAAAGAGGAGAGAGAGGGAGAAACAAAGGAGATCCCCAG